AAAAAAAAAAAAATAAACCCAAGGAGGGACTTCAAGGAAAATACCAATATCTAAATTGGTCTAGGGTGGATGACAGGAAGGGACCTGAGTCAGCATGGCTTATGATTCTGGGATTCCTCCAATTATTCACTCCCAGAAATAATTTCCCTTCGTTTAGCCAAATCCCTCTTGTGGGGAGCAATCCGGACTAGACTAAGTTACTCGAATTAAGACTTATTCTATGCATCTGCTCTCCCACAATATGGCGCTGGGAGAGAAGAAAACAGCTTCTACGCAGCTGCCTCCAGTTCAACCAATAAACTGTAGGACGTACTCCTGATTGGAGGAGAGCAGCGTACTCGGCGTGTGGGCAGCCGAGTTAGGATTGGCGGAGGAGGACTATAAAGGAGGAGAGAAACGGCATGCACCAGGAACATCTATGGGGAACATCTAAGGGAACCCGTGCAGCCCCCGAGAGAACCGGCCGGCGGTGTGCCGCTCCCCTGCGGAAGTGGGGAATGCGGCCAGGGGGAACTGCCCTTCCACGGAGGTGGAAGGGATAGTAGCCAACCCGGGAAGAACCAGCAGCAAACCCGGGGAGGGCCGAGCAGATGAAAGAACAGCGCAGGGTCCTGTGTCGTTCCTCCATGAAGAGGGGGAGCGACACCTCTACTGTTGACTACAGCTGTGCTGTGTGAGTACAAACGTGTGTCCAAGGTGGATGTATATTGAAATATAAATGTCCCTATCAGAGACAAACCATCCCTTTCCACACATGTATCCATATATGCCCTGGATCCTATCCCTCTCACCTTCTCAAAGACTTCCTTTCTTCTATTAATGTTTTTTTCTCTTCTCGGTCATCAATCCTTTCTCTTTGTGTGTCAGTTATAAAAACCTACAAACATGTTCTACAATATTGAAAAATAAAGCAAATCCCCAACCTCAGAAGTTCTTTTAACTACCACCCACTTTCCTACTCCCCTTCACAGAACAGTAACTTAGCGGCACACATTTCTACTTCCTCTCTTCCACTTACTTTCTAACCTGCTGCAGTCTGGCTTCCATCTCTGTTTCTCCCAAAGAAATGACTGGACTAGGTCAGTACAACCTTGCTGTCAAAGCTAGTGGATATGTAACTGTTCTCTTGTTACTTAACCTCTTGGTAGGATTCCAACACATGTGACCGCTCCATTTTCTGAATCACTCTGCTCTTCTGATTTTCATAATACTCTATTCACTTCATTTTCCTGCTACATTTTGGGTTGCTTCTTTTCTATTTGCTTTTTTTTATCATTCACCTCTACCCAAATGTGGAAGTACCACAGGACTGAGATCTTGGCCTTCTCTTTTTTCACTCTTCCTGAATGACATTACCTGTTCCGATGATTTTAAATGCTGTGCAAATGCCAAAGAGCTCCAGTGATATAACTCGAGGCTGATAGTGCCTGTGATTTAACAGTCATATCTGCAAGTGTTTTGTTTCATGTCCACATGGATATTTTAATAAACATCTCAATTTTATTCTCAGCTAAATTCGTTTCTCTTATTATTCTTTCCTTCTCAATAAATAGCATCACCATTGATTCAGTAGCTCAAGACAAAAACTTAGGAGTCATCCTCAATTTCTGTTTTCCTTACATTCTACCCCACATCTAATCCATCACCAAATCACATTGCTTTTAACATTATACTCTATCATGAACTATTCAACTTAATATCTAAAACTACTGTCATCTCCAAATTGTCTGAGACTGTTACTATGGACCTCTAAATGGTCTGCCTGTTTTCACTCCTGCTTGCCTACAATGCAACCTGCACTTGGTGGCCACAGTTAAAACAATGTATCTTTGTCTTCTTTTCGGTCCAGCAGTATTCTCCCATTACACTGAGTAAATTCAACCTCCTCCTATGGCTTTATATGAGCCAACTTCCTGTATATTACTCCAAACATCCCCTTACCCTTGCAGCTGTAGCTACATGGACCTCCTTGAAGCTCCTGTAACACGCTGATCCCTTTTCTGCCTCAGGGTCTTTGCATTTGCTCTTGATGCTAGATTTTACCTTTATCTTCCCATGAGTGACTCTGATCCATTAGTACCAATATTACTTCCTACCTTCACCCTGTCACTCTTGGTCAAAATACATTCTTCGGAAACACTTAATAACTATCTCAGTTGTCTTATTTGTTTGTATGTTCAGCATCTTTCACAGACACAATGGAAGCTCCCTGTGGGCAGAAAACTTGTCTGTCTCCTTCACTATTGATGACCAACCCAAAAAAAGTGCAAAGCTAACACATAAAGACCCACTAAGTATTTGTTGGATGAATTAGCTATTTTTAGACCTCCTACTATCTGCCACCTACTGTTCCAAGTTCTTGACCTAACTCTGGGAACAAAACAGAGTACAGATGCCTGCCTTTATATTTCATTGAGGGAAATGAATAATACTTTAAAAAAGTGTATTTAAAAGGTGATAAATGCAATGAAGAAGAGTTTCACAGTGAGAACTTAAAATATCCTCCAGGTCTCTTCTCAGTGTGCAGCAAATAGAAAAGACATTTGCTTTGTAGACTCTTGAATCATGGCTTGTGGAGTGAAACTATCAGATCCTGAGCAATTTTTCTCTTTATCCTTAAAAGAGAATACCTACCTCGTAAGACTGGTAAGGGGTATACATGAATTAATATAGATCAAATATTGTCTCATCCTTTCTCAGTCACCTGTCCTCATCCTAGAATCCCAAGGGAAAGGGGGCACATGGACCACCACCTTTTCCTCTCCTGTATATCTAGTATGCTACAAAAAAAAAAAAATCAAGCTTTCTTGAAAATACTCAATACATACTTATTGAATAAACAGTTGGACAAACAATTGTGTAGAAAATTTAAAAGCAAATAAATAAGGCTATTTTCATTAAGAATTGATGGAATAGGAAATCTTTACTTTTCCCTATTGTTTTCCCATCTTTTCATTCTTAATGTCAGTTTTCTAGACCTCTATTGATAAAGATGGAAGATCTGTTTTCTAATTACTCTTTCTTGTCATACATAAAAGTAAACTCAGAGACATTTTATAGGAGGATAAAACATTTATTTAAATGGAAACACTAATCTTGATTTTCATCATGCTGCAGTATGGAGTTACAAACAGTCTCCAATAAAACACTATATATAATAAGCAAAAAATAAGTTAGTACATAGTAAACTTACATTTCATCAATTAACAGGTTTAGGAACAAACAAGCCATTTAAGACTTTGAATCTACATGTAGTAAAAAATTGCAACCACTCAAACTTTATCAACCCCAAGTAAGACACTAAAGAGCTATTCGAGACTTCTTCAAACCAATTTCACAAATACATGTTTGTTTTTGGTTACAGTCCCCTGCTATGCACAAGACCATTGGAAGGCTGGAACGATTACACATTTTAAAACGGCACAACGCAAAGCAAGGAGATAGCATGCCAGCCTTAAGCTGTCCTGAAAGTGCAAACTTTGCATTTTCTCTTCCTGAACCACTAGGATAAGCACGGGTACCTCAGACGACACGGCAGGGTCACGAGCATGCTTTCTATACCACATTGGTGGGACGTTTTACTGGAACCAGGGCTCCATGCCTTAGAAGATACCTCCGGTTTTAAACAGTGAACAGGCTTAACTAACTATAGTGCAAATCAAATACCGAGGAGCAAAACAACAGAATAGAGACTGCCACAGATCGGTCTGCTGTTTCTCTACCTGGCATAACGCCACGCGGACACATTGGCACAGGGTAACAACTTCTATTTAGGTTTTGATGTGGAAGGCAGTGCGACGGAGCGAATGCAGGGCAACCACGCAGCAGCCACGGAGCAAGGCTCCAATGTTGTAGATGGGATCTGTTCCCCCTCTCTGAGTACTGAATGCCCACAGGACCGTGGGGACCACGGGGGCAGCCACGGCCAGGAGATCCACTAGGAAGCTGCTGCTCCAGTACTGCCCCACAACACCCCTTCGAGACAGTGGTGTGATAACATCCAACCTTTCTTCCGTGTAGGCTGCGAAATCCAGCTCTCTCATGAGGCGGTTTGCATGCACTTCCATACCCACCGTGGGGTATGGGGTCTCCACAGGAGACAGAAGAATGGCTGAGTTCGGATTTCTTGGGGTTAAATCAACCATTAAGGCAGAGATGTACTCGGGGAAGCTCTCCGTCGAGTCAGCTCCAGACTCCGCAGGAGACGCTAAGCTGGAGCAACAGGGGTCCTGGAGCTTCAGCACATTCTGAATGAGCTCTGAGACTGCCGGGCTGTAGGGCACCACGTCGGTCTGGACGGCTTGCTCCACCACCACGCTGCCCTCCTCCTGACCCATGGCCACGGGGAGGATGGCAAGCACTTCATCCTCAGGGCTGGAATGCATAAGCTCCAGGTCTCCAGACTCCGTGGTGGTGGCTGTCACCATCTCATGGAACAAACCTGAGCCGTCGACCACGCCATCTCCCACCAGCAACAGCTCGCTGTCAGCTCCTTCCTCCGTGAGCGGCTCCTCTGGAGAAGAGCCATCCGCCATCTTGTCAAGAGGGGTGCTGAGGGGTAAGCTCTTCTCGGGGGAAGCGCACGGCAAGTCTAGACAGAGCTCATCCCTCAGGGAGCCGTTGTGCGCCATCTCCATGCTCTGAAGCAGAGACTCCAACTTCCTGTTTTGAATGTTTATGTCCACAAAATACTTCTGAATGCCTTTATCTTTATCAGCCAAGCTGCTCCTCATGGTCTCGATGACCTGTTTGAGCTGTTTAATCTCCTTCCTGGCCTCCTTGAGTGCCAGCTGGGCCTCCACCCGGTGACACTCTTCCTCAATCCAGTCTTCTCTCATGCGGGCCAACTGGGACTTCAGCTCCACAATCTCACTTTCCCTAGAGTGGGAAGACAAGCATGGTTAAGACGGCGTCAACTCTGGAACCAGGCATCGAGCAATTTGCACACACAGCCCGGAGCCCACGCTCTTCCATTTGAAACACAGAAGGTAAATCAGTTTTGAAATTTTTTTCTGTTGGCAACAATGAGCTAGGAACTTCCCGCCCCTCCTTTTAATTATGAAATGGTTGAAGTAATAATAGTAACCAGAATCAGAATCAAAATAGCTGCCACTGTTTCCTTCTTTTTTTTTCTTCCCAGTACTCAGTGTGTCAGGCATTGTACTAAGTACAAGCATCATCCTCTGTTTGGTATTGGCAACATTATAATTAGAACACTTTAAGTCTCTTAGCCTGCTTTTATCTCCATAGACTCCCCTTTCACAATATCTACATGTAGCTTCTGGAAGGAAAGCCCGTTTCACTCTATCTATCAAAGACAGCAGACTGTTATGTTTCAGACTTGCAAAATTGTTCTGATAATATTTCAATGGCAAATCTGTCAAACATCATAAATTGCTACATGGTGCAAGGACTTCGTAGAAACTTGTCTATTACATCTCATGTAGATGATATTGAATCTATCCTATTTTTTAGATCCTTCACAAAAACTTCTTAAATTCTCATAAACAATTGATTCACTGTGAAGGTGAATATGTCCTCATAGTACTTGTGGATACACAGATGAAGTAGTCAGGATCCTCATATACATGAAGAGATGTCAACATCATCTTTAACTTTAGACTTGAATATTTTCTCAGGTTTTGCTACCTTCCCACACAACTCCTCCCATGAGTGCTAAAGTCCTGCAAAGGATTCCTCAATTCATAAAGCCAAACACATCCAGCAAGTAGGGTCTATGCATAGGTAGGTTGGGGTCTAAGTCTATTTTAGGTGAGCAAGGAGCTAGATGAACTTGGAAGATGGAAGATGCTCCTCACACCTGCACATTTATCTGCCCTCAGTTGTCAGTGAAGGTCACTGAAGCTTCTCCAAATCCTGTGGCTGCAAAGGAGGAAGCTCAGGCTGATTATGCAGCCATGCATTGAGGCAGAACCCAGATTCTCAAGCAATGCAAATGCCCACCTCGCCCTGAGCTCACAGCTCCCCTGGCCAGAGCTCGGCCTGTCACTCCTAAAATGTTCCAGGGTAAAACCATCAGGCAGACAAACTGGAGAGCCCCAAGATGTCAGAGGTCTTTTCTCACTGAGATAAGATCTTTTAGGCATGGGCTGTTTTTCACCCTTAACGGCTGGCCAAGAATAACGCACCTCTTCCTTTAGCACAGAAATAGCTTGCAGGAATCACAATGCACACAGATATCCACTCTGTTGCAGAGATTAAACAGGATTTAATGGGGCCACTATGTGTGACCCATTCTGCTGGAAGTAGGGGATTGTTCTTGCAAGTGTTTCTGCCATTTAAAAATAGCCATGCACACACCCAGTTCTTCGTGTCAAAGCTGTGCACACCCATAAAAAACCACAGCATGTCCTCTAACCTACTAAGCTGCCTGAACTCCCCAAACTGGCACATTCTAATGAATTATGAATGGCTCTGCAAGAGACTGATGTAAGATGTTTAATGAATATTAAGTAAAATCGTTTTTCTATTTCTCTATAGTTTGGATTCATATTTTATGGAAAAAGAAGCTGTCCTGAATCACAGGAAGGTGGATTCACCTGTCATGAAGCCGGCGCTCAGACTCCTTCAGCTTGGTCTTCAGGTGCCTCACCGTAACCTCCTTCTGCTGCAGAGGAGTCAAATACTGCTCTGGATTTGGGGGCTTGACACCATGATTTTCTCCACATGACATGTACCTTCCAGACCGCCTGAAACAATCCAAGTCAGGAGATGTTACTTTCTGTCATCTCCTTTCCTCTGCAAAGGAAAGTAATGGAGAATGCCCTGGACTATATGTTTATGTCTGCCCCCAAACGCATATGTTGGAATTCTAACCCCAATGTGACGGTATCAGCAGATGGGGCCTTGGGGAAGTGATGAGATCGTAAGGGAGGAGCACACATGATGGAATCAGTGCCCTGCAGACAGAGGCCTCTAGCGGGTGAGGATACGACTCGAAGCTGGCCATGTACAACCCAGAAGAGGGCTCTCCCCCGAATCTGACCATGCTGGCCCCCTGAACTCAGATTTTCAGCCCACAGAACAGTGAGAAATACATTTCTGCCATGTATGCATTGCACCCAGTATGCATACTTACTTAGAACCACCCAAACTGACCAGGATACACAGCTGAGAGCCAGAGAAGGAATGGCAGCTGTATGTTGGGTCTTAGACCTCAGTAATGGATGATGTTGCTTCATAAGATGGACTGTAGTTAGTATACCTGCCAATTTTAGGATTGCTAATTACTTGGAAGATTGAGGGGTAGGAAAGTGTGTGTGTGTATGTGTGTGTGTGTGTGTGTGTGTGTGTGTGTGTGTAAACAGAGGAGAGAAGATTTTCAGTGGCTGAGAAATGATCTCTTACAAAATGATTCAGTATCCTCTCTAGGCCAGAACTGTCAGTTGGGAGTAGCAGCATGCCATGGAGGAGGAGGCAGGAGGGAAGGAACCTATGGAGGAGATCTAACTTTCTACACAGCGTACCCCTGCCTGAAGATCCTGATGATTCCTTGAACTCGTGTTGTTCTGGAATCAGGTCCCTGGAGGGAGTGTGTTGATCTGAGGGAAATGGAGAATTCACTCTTCTGAAAGGATCAAGGCCTCTCCGCTCCCACCAGTGCATTTTGTAAGAGGTGCTCAGTGTTCTACAAAACAGCCCCCACTGGAATCTTGGCCCTGCACAGGCCTGGCCTAGAACCGGGCATCCCTGCTGTAAGAGAGCTGACTAATGAGAGCAGGGACGCCCGGGGGGAAGAAGCCTGAAGGGGGAGGGCTGCCAGCTTCCTCCCTGACTCTGGACCTCACCCAAGCCACAGTGCTGCCCTGCTCCCCCCAATGCCTGCACGCCATCCAAGATGGCCTGAGTCCAGTTTTCAACCCACTGGCCCTCCTCTCCCGGCCCCTTTGGATGTACAGTTCCCTCTTCTGCTCTGCACTCCTGCACCTCGCAGGAATTAACTCTTGGCTTGCCCTGCAGATCCCGTTTCAGTTTCACTTCTCAGGGAGATCTCCCCTGTCCCCTGGAGACTCCTCATCCCTCACAGATAAACAAGCGCTAGCAGAATAATCGCAAATCTGCTTCCGTCATTGGACAGTTAACACCTTTCTCCTCTGGGCAGCCAGCACAGGAGCAGTCCCTGTTGTTGACTGCTCTATTCCCGAGGCTGGGATTCAAAAACCATTTAGCACTGGAATAAATGAATGAACAATTGTGTGATTCTTCCTTGTGCGGAGGGAAAAGAGTAAATCCCACCCCCCGGGCACCGTGCTATTTTCCCTCCCTATCCAATAACTGCTTGAACTGCTGCGCCTGGCTAGAACGTGTGGTTGGGCTCTTTCTGCAGCAGCCCTGGAAGGATTGGCTGAGTGTGGGAAAGGAAAGAGAAGCATCTTATTGCAGGATAAGGCAGGGGACCAAGAGTTGCATAACTTCTTATAATTTGTTTTTGTTTTTTTTTTCTTTTTTAAAGAAAAATTTACCCAACAGGAGAAATGAAGAAGCATAAAGGAGGAGGTGACCAGGACTCACCTCATGACTGGGCTGCAGTCACTTCCCTTGTAGGAACCCGAGTTGCTGCTACTTGGGGAGGAGGGCGCATAACTGGGATGGATATTCACAGGGCTCAGCTGGTTCCTGCACAGCATGGACAGGAGGTCCTTTTCCCGTGGGGATGGCGGGCTGCTGCCAGACTTGTGTGACGAGACGCCATTACTCCGACCATGAGGACCTCGACTGCGAGAACAGCATGCAAAAGGTTAAAATCTTCAAGGCTAAAGACACTGAGTGCAATGCCTTGTTCTTGAGTAAAGCTCCTTACTACTAAGGGAATCCAAGTCACAGAGCTGAAATGGGCAATATAATGATTAATGCACACTGTCCTCTGGAGCAGCTTTCTCTCCTGCCTGCTATTTTCTTTGTTATCATTAACACAAACAACCTCTGCTTTTTCTGTTCTTTCCAATAGCTTCTGACCATAAAGTTTGTTTTGGATGAAATCCAACTGCCTATTAAGAACACACCCCATGTGAAATATTGATTTGCCTTAGGTTCATTTTTGGAGGCTGTGTTGCAAGATGCGGTCTTTGTTCCAATACACCTGTTTCAGGTTAGAAATGTTTGGGTTTAGTTCCTGTTGGGCAAGAAAATTAAAGCAGTTCATTTGGAGGAAAGGAAGGGATGGAAGGTTGGTCATACAAGAGGAAGAGAAAAGAGGACAAACAGACCCTTACATAAAAGTATCAAATCTGTAATTGTGACCATTCCGCTTCATTTTCTTTTTCTCTCCATCTCCAGTGACTTAATACAACCACCACAGTTTAAGGACTATAATGTAATGGTCTCCTCTCAGTTCCCCTGCCTCTTGTCTTATCCCCTCCAGCAAGAGGCGGACCTGTGGCTGGCATGGCCTTCCGAAAATAGAATTTGAAAATCACTGCTCTCCTCAAAGCTGTCCTACGGTCCTATGATTCTGCAAGGCCTTCAGAGTAAAGGCCAGATGACTCAAGATGGCTCTTAAGGTCCAATCCTGCTGCCCTATCCAACCCCTACCTCCACCATTCCTCCTTCTGCACTCCAGAAAGGATCGATGCTCGTGGTCATCTTTTTTATTTCTTAAGAACTATTTATTTATTTATTTATTTGAAAAGCAGAGTGACAGAGAGAGAGAAAGAGAGAGAGAGAGAGAGAAGGAGAGAAGGAGAGAAGAAAGGCAGAGAAGAGGGAAGGAGAAGGGAGAAAGAAACAGATAGACAGAGAATGTTCTTCTATTACTGGTTCATTCCTCAAATGGCCACAAAGGGCTGGGGCTGGGCCAGGCTAAAGCCAAGAGCCTGGAACTCCAACCGGGTCTCTCAAATGGGTGACAGGGTCTCAAACACTTGGGTCATCTTCCACTCCCTTTCCAGGCACATTAGCAGGGAGCCAGATCAGAAGTTGAGCAGTGAGACTCAAACTGGCACTCCAATATGTGTTGCCCACATTGAAAGCAGCAGCTTAACCCACTGTGCCACAATGCCAGCCCCCAATGTCTTTGAACTTGTAATGTGCTCTGCCTAGAATGTTCTCGGACTCCTTTCCCTAAGCCACTCAACACCAGGAAGTCTACTACTTCAAGACTGATGGGAAACTACTCCAAATAGCCTGTTCTGAAGTCTTCCTTCCCTAGGTCAGTGTTGGTGCCACTCACTGGTGTTCCTGGTGCTCCCTAACATTCAGTGCAAATATCCATTGCATCACAACTATATCCTTGCTTGTCTTTCCCCCTGGACTGAGCATCCTCTAGGGCACAAACACAGTTTGTTCTTTTTTTTTTTTTTTTTTTTATTTATGTTTGGCCAGGCGGAGTGGACAGTGAGAGAGAGAAACAGAGAGAAAGGTCTTCCTTTTGCCGTTGGTTCACCCTCCAATGGCCGCCGCGGCCAGCGCGCTGCGGCCGGCACATCGCGCTGATCCGATGGCAGGAGCCAGGAGCCAGGTGCTTTTCCTGGTCTCCCATGGGGTGCAGGGCCCAAGCACCTGGGTCATCCTCCACTGCACTCCCTGGCCACAGCAGAGAGCTGGCCTGAGTTTGTTCTTTTAATTCCTTCTACTTTCTGGTACATAGTGAATGCTCTCTAAGTGACTGCTGAAAGAATAAATTGGCACTGCCACTTACTAGGAACTTAGGCAAAGAAACCACTGAAGTGATGCGGATACACACACACACACACACGTAAACACCACATAGAGCCAGTGCCATGGCTCAATAGGCTAATCCTCTGCCTAGTGGCGCCAGCACACTGGGTTCTAGTCCCGGTCGGGGCGCCGGATTCTATCCCAGTTACCCATCTTCTAGGCCAGCTCTTTGCTATGGCCCGGGAGTGCAGTGGAGGATGGCCCAAGTGCTTGGGCCCTGTACCCCATGGGAGACCAGGATAAGCACCTGGCTCCTGCTTCGGATCAGTGCGGTGCGCCGGCCGCAGCGCATCAGCCGCAGCGGCCATTGGAGGGTGAACCAATGGCAAAAGGAAGACCTTTCTCTCTGTCTCTCTCTCTCACTGTCCACTCTGCCTGTCAAAAAAAAAAAAAAAATACCACATAGATATACCTTTCCTGACTTCCAGGGTTGATATGAAAATCAAACCAAAGAATGCAAATTAATGTATTCAATATACTCTTAGGTGCAACTCAACTGTAAGAATCATTGCAAAATAAATTTGTTTATATTTTCCTGTACATTGAGTTCTAGAAATTTGAGACTGACTAGTGTCAGGAAGCATTACGGGAATGTTTAAATTACTTAGGTGGCTAACATTTCTGTGTCAGGAATATAGACGGCATTACAAGAAAATCAAAGGTAACAAAATACTCTTCATATCTCAACTTAAATCACAGCAATGTCTGACACCTCTCAATCAGAATCATGTATAAATGTGGATGTAGGCATGCATGTGTGTATACTTGGCTCTAAAACCATGATTACTTAAAATCAAATATAATTTCAAATGGCTATCATTCCAGCGTGTCACACATAAATGAAACATTACCAACTAAAGTTAAAAGTCCTTTCCTTTTAAGATCATCCAAATGGATTCTCTCTTCTTTTCATGAACAGGGGACACTTTATATGGAACAGATGGGCTGATGGCTTTGTGACAAGCTAACTTCGGTGGCCAAGAGTGGGAAGAGCTTCAGGAACAGCTGAAAGGAACATGTCCTCTGGCTTGGTTTTCTTCCCCATGTTTCATTTCCAAGACTAGCACCAATCAGCCTATTTCTCAATGCGACTATGAGAAATATGGAAGATTAACCATAACCACTACATGTAAGGGGAAAACATAAAGGTCTATCACTGATTCTGACCTCGGGAATTTATTATGAGTTAACCTATGTTGACGACCTCCTGTGACACTCATGCTGTTCCAGCCGCTTGATAAACACTGACTCACTTCACCTTGACCATCATCCTGTAAGGCTGACAAAATTATTACCTCCCTTTTACATATGAAGTAGTTGAGGCTCAGAGGAGATAATCAACCCAGGAACACACAGTTGAACTGGGCTTCAACTCCAGATATTTTAACTCTACAGAGTTAAATACAAATAGAATAAATACATTGCTTTGGGCAAGTCACAGGTATATCAGGCCCTGAGATTATATGTGGCTATTTCCTGAAAAATTTACCACTGGCATTCACAGTGTGATGAAGCCTTGTGGTATGTGACTGGGGACATACAAATTAAATTAGAGATTGGGGCCGGCGCTGTGGTGCAGCAGGTTAAAGCCCTGGCCTGAAGCACCGGCATCCCATATGGGCTCTGGTTCTAGTCTCGGCTGCTCCTCTTCCAATCCAGCTCCCTGCTATGGCCTGGGAAAGCAGTGGAAGATGGCCCAAGTCCTTGGGCCCCTGCACCCATGTTGGAGACCCAAAGGAGGCTTGAGGCTCCTGGCTCCTGGCTTCAGATCAGCGCAGCTCTGGCTGTTGCAGCCATCTGGGGAGTGAACCAGAGGAAGACCTCTCGTGGTCTCTACCTCTCTCTCTGTAACTCTGTCTTTCAAATACATAAAAAAAAAATCTTTAAAAAATTAAATTAGCAAGGATTTTGGAAGAGCTCATCTGCTATATCGAGTAAGTAGTATAAAGCATTACTAAAATAAATCAAGTCTTCAATATATTTTGAGAAATTAATTAATAGACTATTTAAAAGCTACTTTTTTTTTTTTTTACAGATTTATTTATTTACTTGAGAGGCAGAGTTACAGATAGAGAAAGGGAGAGACAGAGAGCAAAGTTTTCCATATGTTGGTTCACTCCCCAAATGGCTGCAATGGCCAGAGCTAGGCCGATCTGAAGCCAGGAACCAGGAGCTTCTTTTGGGTCTGCCCACACAGGTGCAGTGGCCCAAGAACTTGGGTCATCCTCCATTGCTTTCCCAGCCCATAGCTGAGAGATGGATTGGAAGTAGTAGCTTCCAGAAGAGTACCCAGGATTCGAACCAGCGCCCATATGGCATGCTAGCAATGCAGGTGGCAGCTTTACCCACTATACCACAGCATTGGCCCTGCATATAATCATTTTTAAAACTTTATCCATGTACTGCTTTCAGTGGGAGATGTGGAAATGACTAAAACTACCACACCACAGCACTGGACCCATCAATAGCTAATTAAAAAAAAAAAAAACAAAAAAAACTGCACGCTTAAGAAAACTGTTCCTTTCATTTAGTTTAGTTTAAATGCTAATATATATAGATACGAACTCATCATAGATGACGACAAAAAAATATTTTCAATGGAGAAGCTGATTCCACCTTTGGAATGAACAGGCAAACCCAACGCCACTTTCCCTCAGCCTGCCCTAAAACCCTTGGTCTTGCTGGCAAAGAATGCAATCCACAAAGAGGAGAGAAAGTTCTGCCGACTCTACACCCTTCCTGCAGACCTCAGTACAGTAACTTGAAAATAAGAGACAAGGAGAAGCCAAGAAGAAAACCTCCCAGGTGGCTCAGGTGGGTTTTTATCCTTAGCCTTTACTTCCGGTCATATGCAGCATCGCCGTCACCGTCACCACCGTGGTCATTGTAACGGGCTGAATTGTGTCCCTTACAAATTCATGTTGTGTTTTTGAAGACAGGGCTTTTAAAGATGTGATTAAGCTACACTGAGGCAGTTAGGGTGGAAATCCAATTCAGTTTAACTGGTGTCCTTATAAGACGTAGAATTTGGGGGGTAAGCATTGGTGCAGCTATTAAGA